AGTTGCGGAAGGAAAAGCTCTGGCGTTCTAGAGGCCTTCAGTTGGTTTAGAAGAGACAAAACTGGGTTTTCTTTCAGGATTTATTTGAATCCTATCATACGATCAGGAATGCTAAGCCAGGCTCTACAAATTAGGTGTAGGGATTGGGTTGTTTTGGGATGTGTGTGTGTGTGTGTGTGTGTGTGTGTGTGCGTGTGTGTGTGTGTGTATGTGTCCAGGTGAGCATACTTGTGTGTGGAGGCAGAGGTAGGACATCAAGTATCCTATTCTTTGACTCTCTGTCTTTTTCCCTTGAGATGGTCTTTGATTGAACGTGGAGCTTGGCAAGCAGCTGGAAAACCAGAGGCTCTGTCTCCACCTCTTCCGGTGGTGGGGCTGCAGGTGTGCTCTCTGCCACGCCCAGACGGTACATAGGTCCTGAGGAACCAAATAGGGGGCCTCGTGCCAGCAGTGACTGAAACAAGTGATTTCTAATTTTAACGTAGCCTTAGTATTCCCTATCTGATGTGTCTGATGCCTGGGACTCTGAACAGAGGCCAGCGAATCGGTAAGCCTTCCTGTGCCTTGGGCATCTGTAGCTCTGCTGAGTCTGGGGGTGATTTTTGTCAACGGTTCAGTTTAATTGCTTTTAGGTGAAGTTGTTAAATTTCTTAAGACTTCCAAGTTATTGCCAGTAATCAGAGCCAACATGATTGGATGTCTTTTCTTGAAATAACCTATTTTCATTAGGTTAACAGATAAATGTGCTAGTGATTTAGAATGACAAAAGCATCAGACAAGGACAATTGTGGTAGCACAGGTTAAAAGTCAGTCTCAGGAAAGGGATGGAAGAACAGAGTGGACTAAGGCTCACGGTGCCCTGAGCACAGGGCACATGATTCTATTAGGGGTGTTTCCCTCCTTCTGATCCCTGTTGACGAAGTGGAGAGGTTGCTTTTATGGCCACACAAGGATTTTGCTGATGCAGGAGGTTGCCGGTGCTGAGAATCAAAGCCTGTAAGCGATCTGTTCACATGTCGCCACCTTCTTCCATTTTCTGCTACATCCCTAGTGCCTGCAATGTATTTGCATAAGTAGGTGCTTGACCAATATCAGCCGAATGAATCTCTACATGCTTTTGTTTAGCGAACTTTATTTCATCTGGCATTTGGTATAATTATTACCTACAGTAATTTTAAATTTTCATCGTATTATGAAGTTGTTTTGAGACTCATTATATTTCTATAAGAATATTTTACCTGTGTTGGAGTGTGCAGAAGACGACTTTTAACCGTTTTTCTTATATGATAAGGTTTTGCCAGATTCCTAGGTCTATTTTTCCAATGCAAGGAAACTGCCAACTTCTGCATGGAATCTGGGAAGACCACGTGGCTAACTTTCCTATAAGAAGGGCTTATAGAGAAGGACTCAGGACTTCTCACAGTGAGGGAGCTCCAGAGTTACAGAGCAGTATCTTTTTGAACTCTCCACCAGAGGAGAGCCTGAAAGAATCAAAGGGAATAATCTACGGGGCTCTAAAAAGTTAGAACTAGTCCCTATTCTGTCCTGTCACATTAGAATCTACCATCACACACAGTGTGATGGTTAATCACAATTGTGAACTTGATGAGCTCTAAAACCACCTGGGAGATTGTAGGGAAGCTGCGTTCAAAATGGCGCCGACAACCTCAGTGCGGGGAGGAGCTAAGGAATTGGACCAGGGACAAAAAATAAGGAAAAGTGTAGGTCACTGGAGACTAACCAGGAGGAAAATGCGTGAGCACCTCGTGATCACCATAGCCGTGCATTGAAAGGCGCCTGCTTGCTCTACATGACCTTTTACAGGATTGGAGGATAGCTGCCTATGCTAATGATTGTGGTTCTTGCCTTTATAAGCGTTGTAACGCTTACAGTAAACGAGTTCCTGCATGACTACACTCCCTGCTGCGTCTGACCCCTCCTCGGCCCCATCGCTGAGCTCCAAGTCCTGCCTCGCTGGTGCTGGTGGGGCGGAGGCTCTGCAGGAGATGGGTCTTCATCCACCTGTGGGGATGATCTGGATCAGGTTGACTGAGGTCAGAACGTGCCCATTGTGGATGGCATCATTCTCTGTGCTGGGGTCTTGGGGTGTATAAGCAGGATGAAGTGAGCTGAAGCACAGGCATTCATTGCTCCCTGCTTCTTGACTTCCCACATAACGGCCAGCTGCCTTGGGCTGCTGCCACTGTGACTGCCCACCACGAGCCACTGCACCTCAAACAGCAAACCCCTCCTTCCTTACGTTCCTCTTTTTTTCTTTTAAATAAATAATTTATTGAGAATTTCATACGTGCATAGAAGGTGTTTGGATCAAATCCACGCCCACTCCCTCCCCTCCAACTCCTCCCATTTCTCCCCATCACTTTTTTTTCTGATAACTTCATGTAGTCTTTCCTCTTCTTTGATTAATTTTTATGGGGCTTTGGCTACTCTAACATTCCCCCCTCTGAAGAGGTAACCCTAACGTTGGAGCAGTGAAAAGCCAGGATGGCGTCTTGGAGTTCAAACTACTAGAAAGCGATGACAGAAATTGCAGAGGAAACATCTCATTAGGTTAAAAGATAAATGTGCTAGTGATTTAGAATGACAAAAGCATCAGACAAGGACAATTGTGGTAGTACAGGTTAAAAGTCAGTCTCAGGAAAGGGATGGAAGAACAGAGTGGACTAACGCTCAGGGTGCCCTGAGCACAGGGCACATGATTCTATTAGGGGTGTTTCCCTCCTTCTGATCCCTGTTGATGAAGTGAAGAGGAGAGGTTACTTTTATGGCCACACAAGGATTTTGCTGATGCAGGACGTTGCCGGTGCCGAGAATCAAAGCCTGTAAGCGATCTGTTCACATGTCGCCACCTTCTTCCATTTTCTGCTACATCCCTAGTGCCTGCAATGTATTTGCATAAGTAGGTGCTTGACCAATATCAGCCGAATGAATCTCTACATGCTTTTGTTTAGCGAACTTTATTTCATCTGGCATTTGGTATAATTATTACCTACAG